CTTGGTTGTCTGGTCCCTTGGTCTTCTGGTCCCTTGGTTCCCTGATCGCTTGGTCCTTTGCTCCCTTTGTCCTGGTCCCTTGGTCTCCTGGTCCGCGGTCCGAGCCCACGATCGTCTGAATTCGATCACTGGACGGGTGGAAGAAAGTAGGCCCGAAGGCCGGGCATGTCATTCGGAAGGGATTGGCTTCTCCCATCCAGTTTTCAGGGTCCTCTCCTTCGGGACATGAATGATTCGCAGATCCCTTTGGAAGACGACTTCCCGCTAGAAAACGGGATCGGTTCTACATTGTGCGGTTCGGGGCAAATTTTTTGAGCGGCACTTGGAGTGTCACTTTTCGACTTGCCAAGTAAGATTAGCCGGCCAGACCTTGGAATTCTGACCCAAATGTGGCCCAGGCGGAAAAGAAATAGATCTTCAAGCTTTCGGCAATGGCTCGTTCGTCAGATGTACCCTCCCCAAGGTCGTGATTGAAGGCAGGCCCCGGCCTTGCGTTCACGCCCCGTTTGCTGCTCCAGGCACACCATTGAGCAGCTGGGTGGCAAGGCACCGAGATGCTGATCTTGAGTCAGATCAACTCTTTCTGAAGTGAGTTTCCTGACTGGAACCATGCAGCCATGCACATTCATGTGCAATGTGTGCACACCTGAAATACTGGTGCCCAGTACTGGCTTCCACTCCTGTGTTCATGGTTCTCTCGGGCGTCAAGCATTCTCGGCCCACCAGCGCCACCTGCTTTCCGGGATAGGACACCGCTGGGGCGACTCTGACTGAGCCTACCATGGTCCTTGAGATGCCCCTGAACAGTGTGGTATCACTAGGGGTTCTTCACCTGTAGACCTAGGCCTTAGACCTTTATGATACACTGTTTGGGGTCTCTTGCCGGGATAATGTTTGGGTGTCCACTGGAGTCGGCATCCACAGCGACATCGCAGGCGAACCCTGGTGAGGGCGCTGGCCTTGGAATCTACGTGGAGAGTGTGCCTTGAATGGGAGATCGATGGGAAAATGGCAAGTTGAAGCTCCACGGAGGGAAAATGCGATGGAGGAGAAGGTGAATGAGATTTCGAGTGAGGTTCCAAATCTCATCTATGGCACGATCCCAAAGTTTGTTTATATTCACCCCCATCTCAAGGACATCTTCGGGTGCCATTTCTCACCTTTGAAACCACCAGCCTAGCTCTTGACTTGCCTGGCGCGTTGTTGGCTCGTGCTCTTCAGGTGAAGAACCTCTTGAACAACTCCATGGTTCAAGCGATCCGCTCCCAGTTTGCGGTGCGCTGGGTGTGGTGGGTGCGATGGTGCGACGATGCCGGGGCGGTTCTATGGCTCGATATCGACAATTCATTAACATTTTACATACCTCTTCGGTGATTCGAAACAGTGATTTTCATGTTGATTCATGTCGTACACTGTGATTGGAAAGCGCAAAAGGCCATCCTGGCTTATCGACCTCCTGGGAGGTTCGGGACGACCAGACCGGCCCTGGTCTCCCCATTGGGCGCACGGTCGCATGAGAGTAGTTGAAGGTTAGGGCCTAGGGTCTGTCCCATTACCTGTAACAGTCAGTAAACAATGATTACTATTTTGGGACGAGGCCTTTGCTAACAATCATCTACTAGCAGACTAGTCGTCCATAGGTTCAATACGAACCTGACTAAGATGAACAAACAAATCCACTGTTACAGGTATTGGGATAGACCCAAGTTATACTGAATCACTTGCAGCAGGATGCTGAGCACCGCTTGAATGTTTTGTCACCCCTCCCTCAACTCGTGTCCGATCTCTATCCTGAATACATGTATAGAGTAACCTTGGATCCTTGGACGTGGAGATCGCCACTGTGGCAGGCTGACAAGACCATCCTGCAGAATGCCATTTCGGGTTCCTAGCAAGCACCCTGCGAGATCCGGGGGGCCGGGGCGTTCGTCCCGCTGCCATTGCTACTACTCAAGCAGTCGAGTAGTAGAAAAACCAAGAAAGGCAGTCCACTTCTTGGGCAGGCATGGATCACAGCCTTATTTTGGCAGGTGTAGAGGTTACTGGTGACTTCACTCACAAAGCAGGTCCCTTGATGGGCGAGCTCCTCGCAACGTGAATCATAGGGAACACATATTTGACATTATTTGACTAACATCGTCCCTCGTTGTAGCCAGACGCTGCCGAGCGAGAGCGAGAGAGAGAGAGAGAGAGACAGAGAGAGAGGTACTTAGAGTGCGAGGAACTCGGAAGCCCCCGGTATGTCAGTGCTGCGACGACCATCAACCCTACGGCCGCGCAGTCCCGGAGCGGTTTTGATACCGTATGTTGTATGGGTACCACCCAGCGCCCCAGGTCACGAAACAATGCACCATCACAAGATTGAACCATCATTGGGGCCTGATCAAGGATGCCTTTGTTGTAACATGCCCCAACGCATCCAACGCCTCCACAACACACAACAAATATTGTCACTCCTCCAACTCACATGGCCTTTCGTTGTATGCTGCCCGAGTCCCTGGACCATCCGACTCTCCCGTTTCCCTCGCCCGAGTCCCTTCGAGGCTTTGACCTGTGCAACAGCACCCTCTTTGGTGCCCTAGCCCATCCGAATGCCGTGCGTGACGGCGGCCATGGGGGCCTGTGCCTTGGCGGGAATGGATGGACATAGCCGGGGCCTGGGACTTCTGAAGGTTGGAAGACACAAACATGTTCAGCTCAAAGAGGTGCCATATACTATATAATTGTTTTTGCTTCGCCGTGCGGCCATGGGGGTCTTAAGGGTTTATAATCTATAAATGTTTATACCGCATTCTGCGGTCGGCAGATGAAGTGTTGATGAGACATATATATATATATATATTAGACTTCTCGAGTCATCTGGCTCATCAGACTTTGAACATCCAACAAGCTAATTGGAAAAGTCTCCTCCGCCATGTCCCGCGTTGCCAGCATCGTGAGTGGCGCTGCCTTGGTGCTCTTCGGCGCCGGCTGCTTCGTTGTGCCGAGCATGCCCCGGAGTGCGCCAGAGCAGGGTGTTCGAAGTGTGGCGGCCACTGAGTCCACCAAGAGCTTCACTGCCACCGAGTCCAGCAGCTGGAGCCCTCTTGCCATTGGAGCAGCCTTCGGATTGCTGGCAGCGGTGGTGACTGCTCAGCCGGTCTTGGCAGCAGACTTGGAGAACGGCGAGGCAGTCTTCCAGGGCAACTGCACGGCCTGCCATGCAGGTGGCAACAACAGCATCGTGGCCGAGAAGAAGCTGAAGAAAGATGCCTTGGTGACCTATGGCAAGTACGATGTAGGTGCCATTATCAAGCAGGTGACCAATGGCAATGGCTCCATGCCTGCCTTCGGTGACAAGCTTGGCCCTGATGACATCGAAGATGTGGCCAACTACGTCTACAACAAGGCGGACAAGTGGTGAGTTAAGAGACCATGAGTTCTTCCGACACCATGAATCTTTTAAATGGATTCAGCCATTTGTAGTTTGTTTCGCTGAGGTGCCTGCAACGTTGCGTGGCCCCGAAGTGAGTCAACAGAGCGGAAAAACACCTCAGGGATCCTCAGGGTAGTTCACCATGTGAACGGGTGGGTTCAAGTTTGGCCCATCCCAAATTTGCGGCACTGCTTTGCCACATGCGAACCGAACCGGAGGCGGAGGCCGGTGGACCGAGGCGTTCGCTTTATGCCTCGCAACGGATCCAGGTGGGTCACGACGGTCATTTGCCCCATCTGCCCCATCTCCCAGTGGGAGCGCTTGGTCTCTCGGCCCAGCTCTTCCCCTTCCCAGCTGCGTCCTGAGGTACAAAGGCCTGGCCGCCCTCAAGGTGCGGCACAACGAGTGCCGAGGACGTCCCTTGGGCAAGCAGTGGGCCGTCCAGGGGACTGGTAGAATGGACTTCCGTTGAAAGGGGGTTGCACCGAGTGAGCTTGGTGGTCAAAATGCTCGGAGACGGAAGTTTGGTCGTCGACCTCGTTTGACAGACTTTTCCACACTCTTTCAATCCTTTGGTGGGGTCAATCCAGATTGAACTATATTGAACTTCTGAACAGTTTCATTGAGTGCCATTATTGTTTGATGTTTCGTTGTTTTTTACAGGCCAGTGTTCCACCTACTGGTGCAGATCACGCCGTGTCCGTTTGTCCACGGAATTCCGTAGCTGGGACAGCACCGGACTAGATGATACAAGATTGTTTGGTGTGTCGCACCACGACACGCACGTAGCATACACTAGGGTGTGTTCCATTACCAGTAGCAATCGTTGATAGATTATCACTATTTTGGAGATGTCAGCCTTTACTAAGCACCATCATCGACCGGGCCGTGGTCACGGGATACACCCTAGCGTGCACCATCTCCAAAACACGCACGCTTGGGTCTCTCGGATACGCCTGGCGCATGGGCCTCATGGTTCGCAAGATGGCAGAACCATACCAAGCCATGGGAGAAAACATGAAAAAAACACCTGCGTCGCGGTCTCCCCCTGTGTTCTCCCGGCCCCGGTCTTTTGCTGTTTTTTGGTGTTTTCGGCTCTTTTTTTGAGGGGTGGCCCGGCACTCCTCAACTGGATGCATCTGGATGCTTTTGGTCCAACCATGGGGGCCAACCAAGTGGCCGACCTGGTCGGCCAAGCTAAAACCAAGGCCAAGAAGCGAAGAAGAAGGAGTATGACATGTGCATGGACTTGTGCCTTGGTGCTGAGTTTTTCCCGTTTTTTGTCCGGGCGATTTTGCCGTTTCTTCTTCTTTGGCCTAAAGAAAAGCGCTCGATGAGTCCATGATAATCTTGATTCTTGGCCACCAGGGTGGTAGAATACTGAAGCGCAGCTGTTGACCGGTGACACTCTGGCAAGCTGGCTGTTGCGACAGTTGTGACCGGCCCCGGTCAGACATGATGTCGTATATATAATATATATATATATTTATTTATATACTGTATCGCTTATCGCTTGCTGAACTGAGCATCCCATGTGGCTGGATATGGTGCTCCTCACATCCCATGGCGCTTTTCCACCGCCGATCGACAGTGTGGATTCATCCAAAACGCTTCGCCAGGAAAGTGAACCAAAAGGAGCTGATGAATGCCTCCTGTGATGGAAACTTCTCGAAGCTCCTTAGTTGTGAATGACAACGGGGGGGAGGTGTCAGGCAGGTAGGCTTCAACTGGAGGTACGACACGCCTCAAGCCAGCAAAACGCGATATGAATGCAGTTTTTTCTGAGGCTCAGGTGGTGCAGGATGGGATGTCACAGAATGCAGTTTCGTTGCTCCGAACAGTGCCACGTGTCCGTCCTGCGGAGTGGTCCTGGTTCATTCATGGGAGTCATGGGAGTCTAGGAGGATTAACCTGCCCCAAAGTTTGGGAGAAATGGCTCAAATATGCTCAAATCCTATAGAGATGGCTCCCAAACTCATCTCTTTCTGGAAATGCCATGATGATTGCAGAGAGAGAGAGAGAGAGAGATGGTCCTTTGGGGGTCTTAAGAAGCCGGGACGGTAGGAACGTCCCGTTCCATCCCTCCTGCAGATGTAGCTTCCATCCGAAAGCGGCCTCCAAACCCGGCCGAAGCCAGCCGCCCAGTCGTGAGGTTCTACAACAAAGTCGTGGCTGATCAGCAAGGGCGGAAGACGTGGGGCGAAGGGGAAGGACGCCTACGTGGAAGACGTGCCTACTTACTTTGGCTGTACATCGAATCTACATGTACCTACCTAGGACCTACGGTAATAATAGACATACACGCAGATATATATATATATAGTTATATATATATAATTATATATATACATATTTTTAAATACACAAGGCCGTTGCTGGCAGCAATTTGAGTATATAATTACTCGGTTGGCTTAGAGAGGAATTCGCGGTACTCGTATCTCGGTCGCGGTACTCGCGGTGCAAAAGTGAACGTCGGGCTGAGCGGTTGGTATCTCCTTGGTATCTATGGGGGCTGGTGTTGCACCCATAGATCCTTTTACTATCTTTTACTCTCGGGGGGGTGATTTAATAGAGGGGATGCCGCGATGCCCCCCCAAGCAAACAACCAATTCTGGTATATGGTACCAAACCGACCCCTCGATGATCCTTCCCCAAAGGACATCATTGGTTGCACCAGGGTCACCAGGGCAAGCACCGCAAGTCAGAAGCAGACATTAGGTTCATTTTCTCTGTACTCTACAAGTGACATCAAGTGACTGGAGTCGTGCAAAAGGAAACACTCGAGTTGCTTTGGGGGAGTGGGAAATCTTGGTTGGGGCTCAAAACGCTAACAGCTCTAGCTTGCCATGCAAAACGCCTGCAGGGTGGGCTGCAGGACGACCGTGAAAACATATCCATCGGGATAGCTGTGAGACAGCTGGACTGCAGAAATGTAGACAGAGAAAGAGAGAGAAAGAGGGAGCAAGCTCATCCATCATGCTTTCCATACCGTAGGGTGTCCTATTCTGCTCCATCAGTGGGGGCCTGGCCTCACGCGACCGCGCACGCGCGGCACGGAACGCGATGCTGAGGGATCTCAGACCACAGGGCAGTGGGAAGCAACGCCGCGTGGCAGCAGCCGTCCGGTAGGACCAATACACCTTGTTTGGCGCAAGCCGGTCCCAGGAGGATGAGGATGACTGTAGACGGTAGACTCTTGATTTATAACACCTCCCATTTGAATTGAACGGTTTGTTCATATGGGGGTTTATTCATCAAAAGTCTACATTATATAATTAATATATATATATATATACCTATAGAGGGCCGTATTGGATTCTTCCGGTGTGTTTTCTTGGTGGCACACCTTGACAAGACCCCCAACCAACCGGCCTACATATTGTTTTCAAGACCGATGTCTTTCTAGCCGGCCTTCTTACAAATTCCGTCTAATTGAACAACTGGGGCGTGGCTAGTTTTTGTGTGTTTTTTTTCATTGGGTATGTGTCATGTGCTGGTCGCTGCTTGTCCTTCATCCTTCATCAAGACTAGGCTTTGAAGTTGCCAGCTATCATTCCGTGGTGAGCTCCTTTCTCTGCTTCTTGTCATTTGCACGTCCCCAATGCTGGCTGGTGGTGGATGAGACATGGTCATCATTCACACTGGAGCTTCACCCAAGCCCGTAAGTAAGCATCATTTCACCTCGTCATGCGCTGCGCTGTCGGATCGGCAGAGGCATTCCTGCGCAGCATTTCGCAGGGAAACCTCTCTCCACCACCCCACAAGCATACCAGGAGGACCCTGAAACTCCATGCACATCGACACGCAGCGTTACGTCACACTCGATTTCTGCCCAGCTCGTTCGTCACACTTCTTTTCATCAGACTTCACCGCGAAGAGAGGAGAATCTCACTGGTCACTGGGTAGGGGGTGATCCTGAATCCCCCTTTTCAACCGGGGGAATCTTCTTGATACCGGGGAAACCTTCGGCGTCCCGGACCAATCCAAGAGTTGGATGCCAGGGCCAGCCCTTCATTGAAACAACACCTGGGGCGGACGCCGCCCCACCCGGACCACCCGGATGCTGGTCCTCCGCGCCAGCGCGGCGGTGAGGTGCGACAGTAAGCAGGTGACCTACCGGCAGAGCCCACCCAGCGAGCTGCCCTTGGTCCATCAGCGGGGGAACCCATGAAGGCACTGAGCACTGTAGGAGGTGAAGGACTTCCTCTCGGAGGTGGACCCCATTCGTCAGATCCGACTTCAAGAGCTGAGCCAAAGAAAGCTGAGTGAAGTCAGTCCTGGCCTAGGCAAGAGCAAGTGAAGTTGGTAGTGCTCCTGTGATTTCGCCTTAAGTAGTTGTCTCAGATGAAGGCCACCTGAACAGTCACAATGCCAGTAAGATTCTACCCAGGCTCAACCTGTTCCAAAGCTCGGAGTGATTTTAGTGCATTTTCATGCATTTTCAGTACTGTGCAGCCCTGTAATGAACTGGCATGTGGCCCCCACCTCCAGTTCTTGATCACCTTTCAAACCCACCTTTCTTGCCGTCCAAAAATTCGATGGCAAGCCGAGAAACCATCAGAGGAAAACCTATCATCATCATCATCATCATCATCATCATCATCATCATCATCATCATCCACTGTTACAGGTGATAGGATAGACTCGACCCAAAGCATGGTATTATCATCATCATCGGGTCTTGGATCCTCTAACCCGGACAAACAGCTCAAGCCTTTGGCACCTGGGGCCGGTCCCAACTCCTGGCGCCTCCCAACTCCCAGTCCGGGCTTGGGCGACGTAGATGTTGAAGGCGCGGAACCGTGGTGACGGGCGTGGGGGCGTGGGACCCTACGGGTGGACGTGAAGACTCCTGCCCACTCAACGGCTGCCCACATGGAGTGTTCGTTTGGGCTTTCTGAGGCCTGAATTGATGCACAGACCAGTACCATCCTGTCTGGGTGGCACTACTTAGGGACCTCCATTGGACACCCAGGTCCACTTGGGAATTGAGCCAAGAGTCTTGAGGTAGCGGAGTGTAATTAGTTGAAGCGAAGATCGCATGGAGCACCCGCATCATATGGGAGAGACACCAAGCACAAGCTAGGCGAACAAGGCGAACTATGGAGCCCCGTGGTGGATCATGCCAGGCTGCTCCTGTCATTAATGCAACACATTTCCGAAAAAGAGTGCTGAGAAGTAGCCTCTATCATCTGTTGAGGGTGTTGAACCTCTGGGAACGCAAGAACACCCGGGTTCCGATGCCTTCACCACGCCTTCGCCACGCTTTCGCCCATGCCTTCAGCAGCTACCTGGCTCAGCGACGGAGCGAGGTAACGACCATTTGCTTGAGTTGGAGACGGCTGGAGCATTTGGTCATTGGATGTTCTTTGTCTACCAGTTGGCAAGGATGAGATTTTGGAAATGCATTTGCGCCAAATCTATGCAGCTTTTGCAAGTAGAATGGGGAGAGCATGCCAGTTCAATTTTTTCTACTTATGAAATGTGGACGCACATGGGCCGAATGGGCTGCTACTAGTTTCTAACAATTGGGATCCATTCGCAGCTGATTGACGCAGATTGAAAGGAATGACATCTTCTTTCCAATTTCGAGTTTATGGGCGTGGTTGAGCCCCCATAGAAGCTAGATGTGGCTTCGGTTCAGCCGCTGCATGATCTTGGAGCATCCCAAAGTTTACTTGGAGGCCAGCGGCCAAGCGACCGAGTCTGAGCGCGTTTTTTTCGACTGGATGTGGGGAAAATTACGCCACCGCCATGGCCAGTGATGCTTGGGGTGAGGATGTTTGCTTATTCCCTTGTCAGACCTTGAGCGCCGGTCACTCGGCACAGGGGACGGATGGGGACGGGCTGGGTCCAGACACTGGCATGCTCGGCCAACATATCCCACCCCGTCTCCAAAAGCTGCAGACCCAGTTCAATTTCTCTTACCGTACTGGATGTGAGTCTTGCCCAGATGTGTTGTTGGGAAGATGGGGTTTCCGCAGGTGAGAAGGTCTTCTGGACCATCTCCACACCCCATCTCCGGGGCCCCGTGAAGCGCTCAGGCCAAATCCAGTTGGATGGGGAGATGCTGCAGGGGCGCCAAATCCAGGTGGACGAACACGTCTTGGAGATCTACATGGCGAAGCGGTCAGCTGACGACTTGGATCCAGATGATGTGGGCCTGCGCTTATGGCCAGGAGGGCCGCCAGACTCTTTTGGGAAGCTTGTAGGGTCTGACCAACATATGCCTGAAAGCATCCCTAGGCCCCATCCCATGGTGTTTGGTGCTATTCGCTCTTATCCTTTGGAAACTTCTGTCAGGAACCCATGCCATGGCCTTCATTCTGTTGCACCTGGAGCGTTCGGGCTGCCTGAAGCACCGGACCCTGCTGGACATGGGCTGCGGCACCGGTTTTCTAGGGCTGCTGGCTGCCCGCGGCTTGGACGTGGAGGAGGCGGTGGCCGCAAGGTCGCGGTGGCGAGTTGTGGTTGTCATGGCCTCCAAGTGGTTCCCAAAGAGATAGAAATGGTTTCCAATTCTCTTTTTAGTGGGGATTTACTGTTCTATTTGTTCGGGGATCTGTATATAGCTAGCTCATGCTTCGGGACGGCTCGGGGTGAGCTTATTTTTTTTGAATGAGCTCTGGGGCGTCAGCGACCACGAGAGTCGAAGCACTTGACTTGCTACTTGTAGATGCAACAATACCCCTAGATACCCCTAGACTTCCAAGACCATTTAACAAACATGGGTGGACCTGGTTTGTGTAGTAAAATCCTTAGTTGATTCGGGAAAGCCTATTAAATTAATGGTGGTGGGAAGCCTAGGGATACTGTATGCTCCCTAATGTAGACTCTTGATTAATACACCACCCCATTTGAATTGATAATCCTTTTCAAAGGGGGGGGTTTTATTCAAGAGTCTACATGACGTGCGTTTCAGGCTCAAATGCCCAAATCTGAAGCTTTTGAAGTACTTTGCTCGGTATGACCCATGTTGTGAAGAAGCCGCACATAAAGACAAAGAAGAAAGAAGACAACAGAGGCAAGGAAGAGGAAGAAGAGGCAGCAGAAGATAGAGGACAACCTGTCAGTCCAATAGAACTGGAGACTCGACTCCCACATACAGAGATGCCAACATTAGATGATGCAGATATGGTTGAGGCAGATGACAGAACGGAAAAGCCACAAGAACAGAAACAACAGAAGCCACCACACCCACGACGAATCTGGAGCAAATCAACCACCACATCCACCAAGCACTTGTACGAAACAGCAAGAACACCACAGAAGATTTCGAAAGACACAATCGCAGAAGAAAGACAGCACCCCATCCACTCCAAAAGACAAGTAGAAGAAGAAATGAGAAGCATGCTGGAGAAGATGCAGGAACTGAACATCCAGATGAAGGCTGAAGCAGACCAAATTCGTAGCTCAGGCAGCGCAGCAACAGAACAAATTGTTGAGCAATACGAGGGACTACAAACACAAATCAGAAAGCTCACAGACATCAGCCAGCGACACGAAGATGAGATTGAAGATCTCAGATGCATATCAGATTACACCCATGAACTGGTCCTTGACAGAGAAAACAGAGAGAGCGCCACAAAAATGATCGTCAAGGCTTGGCCCAGAGAAGCAAGCTACTACGATAGAAGCAGGATTACATATTGGCTGGTGGAAAAAGCGGGCGTGCAGAATGTGAAACAAGAGCATGGCTACTACACACAAAGTCGCAAATTTCAACTCTCACCCGTCTCCATCCTGACCTTTGCTGACCAAGATGACCGACAACGTTTCGAAAGGTTCGCTTACACAAGCTTCTCTGGAAAGTTCCCATTGTACTATTGGAATGAGAAAGGCGACTACGTGCAGCACCACAAAGGAGGACGACACCGGTTGATCATCACCAACTACATCAGCAAAACCGATCTCACTCTCAACCTCACGCTGACCACACTATTGCACATCCTTACAACCCATGACGCTTCACCATACAAAGGCCAAGACACACTGTCACATCGACCAACAGACAAGCAAATTTACAACTTCAGAGCAAAGCAAGTGGTGGCAAAGACAACCTATGACAGAGATCAAGGGATCGCAGCTATTGTGCTGGAAAAAGGGCTCATGGACATCGTGAAGGAGAAGTGGCATGAAGGATGGAAGGAAGCTCACAAAGACCACCCTCGTTTTTTCCAACTACATTCGATATCCATATGCCATTTCATTCGCAGAAGCACGTCTGGAAGACGAACGGCAGGAGATACGAAGCTCAGAGTGACAAAGACAGAGACATCAACAGAGGCAACAGACGAGACATCAGCAGAGGCAACAACTTTGGCAACAACATTGGCGGAAAAAACGTTGGCAACAATCCTTCCAACAGGAAGCAAATCATGGCAAAAAAACAGGGACAAACCGAGCAAACATGGAACACCACAACATACCACACCAAGCCTTCCAGATGGCGCCCCGGGACACCGCCCATTTATGGGCTGACTGAACGACCCCACAGACATCCACATCAAGACTCTCCAGCAACTTTTTTCTATTACCGACGGGCTAAAGTTAGGATTAACCAGAAAAGGCGGGAACGCAGAAGACAGTGGAGATTCTTCAAACGCACATGTCTGTGGGCGAGAGCCACTAAGACAGCCAAGGAACGGTTACAGAAAAGTAGTCTTGCTAAGAGGAAATGTTTGAAACAACACACAGCTTCAAACAATCATTAAACCATGCACGACATTGGTTCAAATCCACGATCAAGAAAAGGAAACAAGAATTTCGATATAAATGCGCCGCTATCAAGTTCCAAGAAACCAGTTTAAATCAGAGCAACAAACTACAAAAAAATGAGGCGAAACAATGGAAGCTAAAACACGGAAGTCGCTTGAAAGTTGCCACTTTGAATGTAAGAGGATGCAATCACCTTACCAAACGGGAAGTAATTGATGATATTATGAAGAAGCACTCATACGATATACTACTTCTAACAGAGACCAACGTTAATACCTCCAGCTGGGAAAAATGGGACAGCTCAACTTGTTTCTTTAGTAGTAATATTGACCCCCAAATAAGAGAACGAGAAATGAAAAAAAGGGACGAAAACATAAACCCTGGAAGGGCGAGAGCAAACTACAGAACATCGGAGGACTTTGAAAATGCCGGAGTAGGAATAGTGATTAATTCATCACTCCTTCCAAGTCTGCGAGATATTAGACAAATTAACGGCCGGATAATAACAGCCACGTTTGAAGCACAGGGCTCACCTCTTTCCTTTATTTGTGCATATGCACCTCACAGCGGACACACTATTGAACAGAAAGAGGAATTCTACGACCAACTATCCACAGAAGTGTCGCGAATAAAAGGGCGCTTCTTGATTGGAGGAGACTTCAACGCCCGTATTCATTACGTTAGAGACAACGATATCGATGTATGTGGACCACATATCATAAGCAGAGGAATGGAATATCTAGATAACATGAATGAACATACAAAAGAAAATAGGGCACTTTTCCTTGGGTTTTGCAAATCACACCGCCTTCAAGTTGCAAACAGCTTGTTTTCGAAACCGCCTGAAAAGTTAGTCACTTACAAGGAAAAAGTCCATATGGATGAAAACAAAGAATACAATGGCCCCCCATATGACGCAATAAAATATGCACAGATCGATTACTGGCTCTGTGGGCAGATCGAGCAAAGAGCAATATCAGATATCCAAAGTAGATTAGATGTTCGTTTTGATTCAGACCATTTTGTGTTGGAATGCAAGCTCAATATTTCTTTCCCTACATTTAAAAAGGATAATGCGCCACGTACGTCGCGATATGCGAAACCTGACTCAGACAGATGGATTTTCTACAATAATAACATTCGGTCTTTGCTAGAGGGGAAAAGATGCGACTTGGATTCACTCACAGAGGCCATGAAAAACGCGGCCGCAAGCTCACTAAGGATAGAACCTCCGAATAAAACGAAAAAAGTTATCCAAAAATTGAAGAGAGAAACGAAAAGGCCCGAAACGGAACCGCAGCAAAGGAAATAACGAACCTCAACAGGGAAATTGCCCGAATGGCCCGGAGGGACAGGCAAGACCATTTGATAGAACAATTCAATGAGAACCCCCAAGATCCCAATAAGAAAGGTTTATGGAGAGCGGTTAAGGGATTAAAAAAGAACTTCATACCCAATTATGTGAAAATGAAGAACATGGATGGTCAGCATGTCCCTTTGGCCCAACGCGCTGAGACTATAGCGAACTATCTAGAACAAAAACACTGGAGCAACCAAGCTGAAAACGAAATCAACCACAGCAAACTTGTAGATAGCAACGATGCAGGAGTAGAGAGTTTCACAATACAAGAGCTCTGTGCAGCCATCAAGGCGGCAAAGCCCAATAAACAACCTGGCCCTGATGGTCTAACTATGGAACTGATCAAGTGGCTGGACAATGCCAACCGGCGGGTTCTTTTATCTGTTATCAACAGCTGGTGGAATACAAAAACTGCGCCGTCGGCATTGTTCATGGCCCGTGTTGTCCCTATCTTCAAGAAAGGGGATACAGATATTGCTTCCAATTACAGACCAATCTCCTTACTCAACAGTTTCTATAAAATATACATGGTGATGATCAGGACCAGAATGCAGGCAGCCACAGAGCATCTACTGTCTAAAACCCAGTACGGCTTCAGGCCCAGCAAGTCTACTTCACATGCCATCTATATTCTCAGACGAATTCAAGATTATTCCGAAATTAAGGGGGCGAAGCTGAGCATTGCCTTCCTAGATTGGGAAAAAGCATTCGATAAAATTCAACATGACAAGCTTCTTGTTGCCCTTGGCCGACTGGGTTTCAATTCGCAGTATACAGAAGTCATCGCAGACTGTTATGCAAAGCCTCAGTTTTATGTCAAGGACGAATTCGGTTGTTCCGATTTTAAAGTTCAATCCTCTGGGATCCGACAAGGTTGCCCACTGTCACCTTTCCTATTTGTATTAGTCATGACCTGCATCGACATTGACATTCAACAAAGTATTTCCGCTTATGTGACAAATAATCGAATCCCGGGGGTTAATTTTGACATGATCTATTATGCAGATGACACTGTACTTTTCTCACGGAACAACCGAGCATTAAACGAATTGCTGAAATTGACAGAGAAAATCTCCAGTGGATACGGACTTGGTCTCAATAAAAACAAATGTGTTGCTATCACTATGAACAACGACGGTTGTATTCATTTTCATGACGGGACCCCTTTGAACAAAGAATTTGAGGCCATGTATCTTGGAAATGAGATAAACAGGACAGTAAAAAAAACATGAAATCCTCAATAAAATGTCAGAGGTCAGAAGGACCTGGTTCAAGCTCAGCGCCTATTGGAAAGCTTCTGGAGCCAGCAAAAAGTGGAAGCTAATCATTTTTGATGCCATAATCCGGAGTAAGCTTTTATATGGGTTGGAAACTATACATTTAACCCAGGCGCTAAGCAAATCACTAGATGCTTTCCAATTAAGAAACTTGAGAAAGATTCTCAAAAGACCGCCTACTTTCATAGATCGGTCATGTACGAATCAAAAGATTCTTGAGGAAGCAACTGCCATTGCCTTCCCAACTCGGGGCGATAACAGACAAATTATACGTTTCAGTGATTACCATATGAACAGAAGATGTAATTTACTTGGGCATATAATTAGAAGCAGTAATGATGACCCCATGAGACAAGTATCATTCGTTGATAGCACTGCATCCAGAGTTGATTACGGCACCAAGCGAGTTGGGAAACCGAGGCAAAACTGGCTGCATATCACAAAGAAATTTGCATACGAAAACGTTTTGAGACATCATAATTTCGATGAAAACACCGATGATGCGAGAATATATGCAGCCGCATTGAACAGAGATTTTTTAATTACCGTTCTTTGGCTGTGCCAACGCCTTGCAATAAGCCCGTCCGGACCAGGTCGGCGCGAGGTATGGCTGGAAAAAAAACATGACGTGCGTTTACATATACTTTTTGTGGCGAACTTGGTGGCTTTCTTTGGTCAACAGTATGTATTTATATAGATCATACATAAGGCAGTCAGAGCCAAGACGGGGCCACTCTTTGGAGGGTATGTCAGTATGTCAGGGTATGTCAGGTATGTATGAAGATATTATAATGCAGACTCGGTCAATAACAGTTCCAATGTGAAGAGGTGTTACAGTCCAGTGCATTCCGACGCTCCGGACCCCAGGTGCTGGAGCCAAGGTCGTTCTGTCGGACCGTCCGGGGCGAAGCTTGGAGCTCGCGCGCCTCAACGGCAGTGCGGCGGGCGCGGGTGAGGCGTCGAGTGGATTTGGAGCATTTGTCTTGGGGGGACAGAAGGTGTAACAGTGTAACATGGGCCCCCAAAGAAGGGTTCCTCTATGTTCCTCTAGTCCTCAGAGACCTTGGGAATTCTCAGAGCTGTTCAAGTGCAAGCAGGTCATTCTTTGGAGATAGGATGATGCTTGGCTTGGTGTTGCGTCCATGGCCAGCATGCTGCTGCTTGTCCAGGCATCTACCTGTTTTTTGAACTAACAAAGCCTAATCAGAGCCTTCTTGGGCTTTTCTCAGCCACTTCAGAGACTACATAGGTCCGCATGTGCCGTGCACAGGTGGAGGTGAAGGCATTGGCTTGGGGTTCAGACTTGGTGGATGAAACGGAAGGCGGGGGGGAGAGCTTCACGTCACCCGTCGTCACGTCCTTTCTCCGACCCAAAACCTTCGCTATCTACTAATGGAATCGTCCTGCATGTGACAATTAACATCAGCAGCCAAAGGGGTCACCAATCAACCACCTTACCATACCCCTCCACAGAAGCGCTGGGCCAAAACCCTGAGTCAGGCGCGGTCTATGATGTCGTGCTTTTGTCGGAGGTGAACTGGGCTTGTAGAGCGTGTGTGTTTTCCTTTTCTCCTGGCTGATGCATGCTGATGCATGGTCCGCATGGTTGCTTGATCCCCTACTGGCATCCACTGTCATGTGAAAAAACACCTAGCCTTTTCTCTTCTTCCTGCACGGGTGGCGGTCGGCCCGACTGTCAATGCTACAGAAATAGGGAGAGATGATAAAGATTCCTTTATTTTTCTTGGAGATCAATTTGTCTTGATGATGCAGTGTAATCCCTCATGTGTTGACTCTTAAGTTGTTTGTTTTAGTGGGTTTGTATCTTTTCGTGCCATCCGAGAATTGGAAGGTGCTTTACGTGGCACAGCCCTCTTGTGTTCCTTGGAGTCTGGATGATGCCGACCTGTTAGCACTGGCAGAGATGACCAAAGCGAAGTTGAGTGCAGAGGGCCACTTGTCTCAGCGGAAGGGAAGGCCACCAGCAGAGCTCTATTGGTTTCTGGTGGGTTCTGATCAGATCCTTTGTGAAAGTTTGCCCCTACGGCACGCATGTTTCATGTTCCCTAGGGCTCCTGTCCCATATCCTTAGAAGGTGGTTAGACCCCCCAAACCATCCCAGACCCACCCCAAGCACCTTCTCAGGAGGTGGTTGGAGCCCTAGGGATTTTCCCAGAAGGACATCGCATGTTTGTTTCGTGAACCTGTGTGCCCTACAAGTCGCGTGGCGAAAGCTGGTCCCCAAGCAGCCCCCCACCAGCATAGACAAAAAACACGATGAACTCGGATAGGCTGAACCACTTCAGAGAGCACCCCGGGCCTCTATCTCCTTGCTTTTTCAATGTCTGACTCCATGACTACAGCCAGTGACTATATAGCCATGTGTCGACTCTCCGTCGCATCTCCGTCGTCTACCTTTCTCCTCCACCTCCACACGCCTCAGGTCATGTCTGGGTCACCTACGGCAACCGCGAGAACGGCGGAGCCCAGTTCGCCGCGGCCGCCGCCGCTGCGGGCCTCGCGGTGGAAGAGCGGCGCCTGGAGGAGTTCGTGCCGGCGGAGCTCTTGCAGAGCCGAGCGGCCAGCGCTTTGCGACGGGTGAAGGTGTTTCACCTCCAACACGCCGGCGTGGCAGTGGAAGATGGCACACGACTCAGGGAGGAAAAAGAAAGGACCGGGCGAAGGTGGGGAGATGTGACATCGGTGTCCAAACCGATCCGACGAATCAATCGTCCTTGCCGCTCCTGGCGGTCCTTGCCCACATCGCCACATTGACAGACCGGAGCCGTCGAGAAGAGGTAACAACCTCATCGACGCGACCTCCTACCTCGGTCAGGCTACCTCATCGAGCAGTTCGACTATTTCAGCACGTTGGTGTGCCTCCCTTAGGGATTAGGGTCGACTGGTTGAAGTGGCGATGAATCCGTGGTCTCTGTGGTGGATCCGTCGTCCACGAACCAAGAACGGCGGAATCCGTCAGATGCCGCTGCCAAGGGGCTCCGGGTTGAGCCCAGGTTCAAATGGCGGAACGAGGTTTGGAACAGCGAACCGCAGATTCCATCCTTATGGATCCAACTTGACTTGGATCATCTTGATCCAACCCACAACTGAAATCTGATGTCATTTCTTTATCCAACCCCCCAAAAGCACAAGCTCAAGTCTAGATATACGATTATATACGTCTTCTTAAAACTTGCTGGAAGCCGAACTCCAACAACCTCCACCTTAAAATCCGATGAACTCTGCCTTAGCATTTCGTTTATTTTAACGTCTTTTCTTTTTTCTGCAGGAGACTTCGCTGGTTGCTGTAACGGAAACAGTACGGAACAAGCGAGTTAGTTTGTCTGTTTTCTTGTCAGCAGTTGCAACTTTGATTCGTCTTGTGTGGACCAGCTCGTTCCAAACAGTGCCCGGATGAACTCCGACGAACTAACCTGGAAAGGATTTGAGCAAGCTAGCAGTTGTTGAAGCGGGATGCCGAAGTATTTGCAAGCTGACCTGAACCTGAAGCCAAGAAAGGTGTGAGTGGCTGGCATTTGGGTGTGTCACTAGGAGTGACTGCTTGCCCTAACTTACCTGAACAAGCATACCCCCTACGAACCTGTAGAGCGCCATTCTGTTCAATTCAATTCTTGTCTATGCCGCTATGCCTTTTAAACTTTAGGACGGAGTGCATGCTATTTGCAGTAGTTAGTGAAAGTCAGTGAGGGCCTCATCAAAGATATATGTATATATTATATTTAAGATGGAGTATGAAGTGGAGAAACAGTCCTTTGTTGCATGGAACCTGGAACGGGTACAAATCCGATCAAGCTCAACGCAGCTGTGAACCGACCAGTTCTTCTTTGCAGATCCGTTATTTCATTCCGCTTCCGCAACAGGACCGACGCGTTTTTGTTTCCAAATCAGCATGAAACAACGGTTTCTTCCCGGGGGCGGAATGACCTGGTGCTTGAATCCACTCTGTGCGGGTCCACGCTGCAGGTCTGGTCGCCTGCGTCTTCAGCCTCCACCGCCTCGTTTCGTCTCCTTCCGTCTCGTTTCCACCTTTCTCGTCACGCGACGGGACGTCTAAGGGCGGACTACGAGTACGCCGAGAGGCTGTGCTTCAACCGCACCAGGCGACGGAACCGGGTGCTGGTCAGTCAGGAGAGGGCGGGCAGGGTGGACACTGGGCCAGTAGATTCTTTGAGAAGTCGGGGATCTTTATGGCAAGAATGGTACCTGAGGATATGATATCCTGAAGACATGAAGATAAGTGCCTACTTGCAGATCGCAGCAGCTTAGTTAGTTGCTATATGTTCTTTATTGTCCGGACTTGGCCCAATTTGTATACTGAAACAACGCTACGGAACCGGAATCCGTTCTCACAAGGCTTGAAGTACAGCCGTTGGATAGTCCTTGGGTCCTTCGCTCGCACGGTTTCGGCCGGTGGTCCGAAGACCAGCCATAGGGAGATGCCCAGGTCACCCGACTCCGATTGAGACTGAAGAGTGGTTGTCTGGCTGGAAGGATCCCCCAAATCATGGCCAGGTTGCCATGGCGCAAGGAAGCAAGGAACCCGGTTTCGAGGTGGACCAGGTTTTTTCTTACATTTTTTTTTTAAGTGAGAAGCTCTGCTGGGACCTCGTCGATTCAATGTCAGGTGTCGAGGTCTATTCATTTGTGCTCAGTGGAGACCAGTTGGACCTTGCACATCCGACTTAGTTACATCTCCAGACTGGGCACCCAGAACGGGTTCGAGACTCCAGGTCACTGTTTTTTCCGGTCCCATCGAGGATGGAGATGCACCCGGCCAAAAAGCCTGCTTCTTCCGGTCCGGGCAAGAAGCAATTACAGTGGTTTCAGAGTAGATGGCACTGGCACCCCTACATGTCCTTTTCTACTCTGAACCCACTGTACTTAGAACTGGTTCATTTTCTGGTCCTTCCACATCAAACAGCGCCGGTCAAGTCGGAACCAGTACCGGACCACTCGGACCACCGGACCACTCCAACAACCCGGTGGGAGCGCCACGGGACCTGCCACGCGAAGCAATGAGGACGACTGGACCCTACGGGGACCCCTGAGGACGCCACCCTTGATGACATCTTATGACCAAGCTGTGCAACTTGAGTATGATTTGCTCTCCCTTGTCATCAGTGAATGGAGCATTAGACTCCGGCACTGTATACACTGTATAGGGTGCTTGGCGTGAACCCTGCGAACAACAGCGCATCTAAGGGGGTTAACTACTTGGGGCTTCAGGTGCATCTCTCTGTATGGCTTCAGGTGCTTTTTGGATGTCTTTGGGTGTTTCCGAATCTGCTTTCCATCCATATAGTGAGGTTCATGAATGTCATACCCAAACACTCCATGGGACTGCCATATATGCCTACAAATGACCCCCCAAACATGTAGGCATATCATCCATACATGGAGAACTCATGGAGTGTTTGGGACATCTACGTCATACGTCACGTCTTCACGTCCACCGGAAACACGTCGGCCATCCGGCCATCCTCAGGGACTTCGAAGACACCAGGGATCGATGTGGCACGGCCGCGGACAAGCGATCGAAACGGAACTGGTCGAGACGTCGGTGTTGTAGTAGGAGTAGTAGATAGTAGTAGTAGTAGTAGTAGTTGTTGTTGTTGCTGTTGTTGTTCTGTTTTTTTAAAGTAGGGTTTAGTATAAGTATATAAATATATATTTATGTTTATTTTTTTTGAAATAATTGTTGGATCTCCCAAATTGACATATAGACCCTCAAATAGATAGCCAAATAGATAGAAAAGTAGATCCCCACTTATAAAAATGTATTGGACACCGCGCCACCATTTATTTTGGGGGTCACGGTAGAAAAGTCGATCCGCACGAAAGATCTATTGGAACCCGTGCCACTCTCCATTTGGGGAGCAATATCATGAAGATGGCCTGCTATGTGGACAATTGTGGACGTAGAATATGCCTTAGGGCTCCAACCACCTCCTGAGAAGGTGGTTGGGGTGGGTTTGGGGGGGTCTAACCACCTTCTGAGGATATGGTTGGAGCCCTAGGGATGATAGAATGAATGAAACATAGACTTTTTCAATGCGTTGAAGTTTCAGGTTTTTTTTAGCCCGCGCCTCCAGACGTCCAGAGTGAGTTCGTGTCGCTAAATGGTTGGTCTCGTTCCAGCACCCATATAGCGGCAGATTTTTGTTTTGTTCTAAGATGATTTGGAAGAGTTTTATCATAGAGTACTAAGATATTATATCTGGGGGGTGGCATTTGGCTCCCTATGATTTTGGCACTTGGGCACTTGTGCCCAGGCAACCCCCTGCCTTGACGTGACACTCACATGTTCGAGCCTTTGGATCAGCTACACACTGATCCTCCGGCATCTTGAAGTAGATTGTCGGACTTCTCTGGGTATCCAGGTCGGGATTTGTCCCAGATCCACTCAGAAGCTGCCCCATCTGATCATCTCGTTAAAGTTCCCAATCCTTGGATGTACGTTTTGGGGACGGCTTGGGTCGTGACCCGCCTGGAGCCCAATGGTCGTCCACCATGGCCGGCTTCACGACCGACACCAGGTAGGTCAACGAAGTATACCGACACCAGGTAGGTCAACCGACACCAGGTAGGTCAACAGCAAAGCAAGGTGAAGGGCTTTGGGTTTCGCGCCTCGCACCTATCGTCCGCCAATCTCGTCGGTAGGTTAGTGAAGGTGTTTGACCTTATGAAGACTGGAGCCCCTGCCCAAGGTGTCCATACCGGTAGCTCCAAGATTCAGGCAGAGGTATGCCGGTGTTTGACCTTTTGCAATTTTCCTCTCCCGAGGTGAGGGGCTCTTCAAGGTGCACGGCGACTTCACCGCAGAGTGCGACAACTTCCAGGAGCCGAGTTGACCCACGCCGCTCGGAGGAGTCTTCGGTGGAAGAGTACGACCTGAAGAAGGGTTTGGTGAACCCAAGAAATCCCAAGATCTTAGATAGAACGGTCAAACAGTCAAGACCTGCCACAGAAGGAGACAACGGCCGCCCGACAGGAGGGACACAACTGGGGCCTGAACCCGAAGAGTTGTGGTTGACAGGTGGCACAGGTGGCAAGTTCGGTCAAGTGAGTCATGTGAAAGCATGGAAAAGAGGTTCCTACCAGCACCCTCAAAGGGGTCACCAATGGAAGCCCCCAGACTAAGGGACCTCCAGCCAGGACACCCCTTGAAGGTCCAGGTATATCATTTGTTCAGAGTGATCGAGGCTGATGGGTTGAGGAACACCAATCCTGCCTCAATATGTGTAGACAGGGATATCCAGGCATCTATACTCCAAGTGTAGATTTGCAGAACCCCCACAGAATCATAAGAATTCTTCTCAGTGCCCCGCCATCGGAATCGCCAGTCAGTTCCGCCTCAAATAGGACACCCTCGACGCGGAAGCCTGCACGCAACAGGGCCGCAAGCTCCTTGGGTTGGCTCCGGCCCCGTTTTTTGCGAGGGCTGTGAATCTGGCAGCCACGCCAGCCACATTTGGCTTGTCGGTTCTTGCTTGCAGAAGCCCACATGTCACATGATCATATAATATATACTGTACATGTCCGAGTCCCCAGATCCCTGATTTCCATTTGCTACATGCCTACATCACCCCACCAAACTTGTGGCTGCCCACCTTTGCAACCGTGAATCACTGATGCAGCGGTTCTTGCAGCAACACAAGTTCGACCTCAACATATTTATACCAGACAACAGCCTTAAGCTGGCTGAGCCCATCTAAAAGTGACACATCTAAAGCAGCAAAATTGGACCTTCCCCCAAAGAGCGCAACAGACATGACAAAAGAGAGTACACAGATAACCACAAGACACATTCTGAGACGTTTTAACGTTTACGAGAATCAATAAAGGAATGATAGCAATAAACATCACACAAAAATAAACAGATGAAAGAGAGGACAAAACGGCTGATGTTAAGGACAAACAAGCAGGACATCATTCAATTTTCTTATTCAGTTCTATGTGGTGTTCTCTGGAATCAAAAGACACAATAATACAAAATGACGACAAGAAATACACATAATACGATGATCACGAAGTTGCTATATATTATATATACCCTACACTTCAACGGCCTCAATATTTGTGGCTGTTACAACGGCCGCAAAACCTTACATGAGTCCCCTTTGGACGGCTGGCTGTCCAAGCTCAAGTCCCCTTTCGCCGCGCCGCTCACAGATCAAGACATAATGCGCAGGTGACGGTGACATGTGTCAAAATGATAGATCCCTATTTTCAAAGGATGGTTCAGCTTCAGCCCTGAGCCATGTCTCGATCTTTGAAAGCGCAGCTTTTCAAGAGCCAGGGACTTAATGACTGACGCAAAATAGACCAGAATCTTTGAGGGCCCACTCATACCTATTCCATGCCTGGCCTAGGGAAAAAAAGAACTGAAGCACTCGGAGGTGCGCCACTCTTTGCCCAGCACTGCAGTGGCTACTAGACTCACAGTTGTTTTCACATGCATCCTAAATTTGATTCAGTGGCCCTGACATTTGGCTTTGAGAAACAGCTGGCCGCTTCGATCTGTTTTCTGCGCTGCGAAATGCAGCCCGGTTCCAGTGAGAATCGCTCGACGCTCCTGAAGGCAGGCGCATTTGGAGAAATACTTTGTGGGGTGGGGTGGGGGTGCCCGGGAGCCCGCCCATGTCGCAAGGCCTTCTATGAGGATTGGTTGAGCAATGAGGACTACATCACAGAGCGTTTCTACAAGCTCGCTGTGAAGTCTTCGATTCCCAAAGTCAAAGTTGAGAAGCGGATTGCGTGTGGTAAGGTGGGACCACAAAGAATCACAAGTAAAAGTCCTAGAATCCGTGCATAGAGTCGGCGTAGAAACCCACTTGTGCAGGCACCTTGTACTTTCAGCTTCGTGGATGTTGACAGTAAGGGGAAAGTCAGCCCCGAAACGGCCCAAACCTAAATGTCAAATTGCCATTGGTTCTAAAGACGTATAGCCCATGCAGCAACAGCCCAGGTCCAGGATGATGTCAACCACGCTTTCTTGTTAGATTTCTTGGCAACCTTCGCGGCAGACCTTCCGAGAGTTTCAGAGATGAAGGCAAGCCAAGCTGGTCACCAAAACATATGATTCCTTTATAATTTATGATGGCAGGCAGTGCTGAGCTCTGTCGCCAAATCCTGGGGATACAGGATTGTGTCCAAATCTGATGAGCGCGACGAATTGCAGGACAGGCTTGTTATAAGAGCCATGCCATGCATGTCATGTCGACCGATTTCCAACATTGGGCTAAATCATTGACCTTCAAAGGACTGGGCTGAAGAGGAAGCTAAGCTACAACTTGGATTGGCCCGGTATGTGATTCGAAGAGCTTTCAAAAATCGTGGAGTGAGGTGGGGGTCCTTCCGATACATAAACCCGTCGTCCTGCTCCATTGGCCAGGCATGGACACACCAGGATGGAGGAGTTGAAGAGCCTGGTCAAATCGATCCGTCCAGGCTTGGGCAATCTTTCGGCCGGTTCTAGGGGTACTTTAAAATCTTAACTTCCCACGTCCCACGTTGTTGTTAATGTCACGCACGACCATGCGCAGAACCGAATGTGAAGATGATCCGGAAGCCAAAGAGCAAGGATGGTGAAGGTGTGAGTTCTGAGGTGGATGAAAGCGGGAAGGAACCACCAGAAGAGACAACAATAGCTGACACGTTCAAGTCAGCCCCTCAGCTGATTTAGAATCTGATACCGAGTTCATCACCACTCCAACGCCAGAAGCCGTGGCTGAGGCCATTCCTGAGGTACCTCATCAGGTACCTAACCCGGAGCCTGAAGCCATCCCGCCCGCCGTTCCTCATGAGGTACCTAACCTGCAGCCTGAAGTCACCAAGGCCGTTCCTGAGGCACCTAATGAGCCTGAAATTTCTTCAGGCTTGACGGCTGAGATGGGAGACTTGAGCTTGGAGAGCCAGCCGTCCAAAGAGAACCTTGTAGCTGCTCAGGAGGCTCAGCAGTCCAAAGTCGCTGGGTCCCAATTGATCGAGCCTGTGGTTGAGAACGTGATTGAGCTTGAGGATTCCCAACCAGTTGCTCCTGAAGTTTCCCCTGCCCCCGAGCTGGCTCAGGAACCGATCGAGCCTGTGGTCAAGGTTGAGGAGGTGATTGATGATTCCCAATCAGTTGATCCTTCTGAAGTTTCTCCTGCCCCCAAGATGGCTGAGACACCGATCGAGCCTGTGGTCAAGGTTGAGGAGGTGAGTCATCATGATTCCCACCCAGTTGATCCTTCTGAAGTTTCTCCTGCCCCCAAGAAGGCTGAGACACCGATCGAGCCTGCAGTCCCACCTCCCATTAAGCCCAGCGCTGCAGCTTCTGAGAGCAGCGAGCCCACTCCTCCACAGGGTGAGACAAAAGCCAAGAGTGAGAGACCCCTGACCCCAAACAAAGCTTTGCTCAATACTGAGGAAGAGGAAGAGCAGGAAGGCCTGGGCTCAGGAGACGAAGGAAGAAGCAGACACAGTTTTCAGGACAGTAGTATTGTAGCATACATTCCTGTCAAACAATAAGTTTGGCCTGCTAGCTAGCGCCCTTGCAGGACAGGCGTCCACTCTTGCAGACTGTCCCGGGCTTGCCAAACATGGAAAAGCTTTGGCAGGATTACCTCAAAGAATACGGCCCGATTGACAAAACCAACGAAGCCATTATGTCAAAGTTTGTTTTGCAGGCCATGATTTTACGATATGTTGATCGATGAATGATGACTCAAGTAAATTTGTCAACTTTCATGTGTACGATATCGTAGAGCTGTGTTTGATTGATCCTGCGCTTCGCAGATGCAAGATGAGACGCGGAAGGGCATCAACCAACATCTTAGGGAAGCGCAGAAAGACCTGGACGCTGCAAACCAAAAAAAGCAGAAAACCCAGAACCAGAACCGGGGAAGGGGCGGGAAAGGACGAGGAAGGGGCAGAGGTAGGAAGGCTAAACAAACAGAGGACGAGGGTGAGGAAGCCAAAGATGATGATGCAGAGGCACATAGCAAACCTCCACGCACACAGATTTTACTATCAAAAATGCCCAGGAAGCCGACGAAGCCGAGGACGCTAACGTCGAGGTCGACCAGGAGGCATCTATACTGCAAATAATATATCGCTCTCGTGATACCCGGCCAGGATGGTGCCGCAAAAGCTGCAAAGGCCACTTCTTCTGCCGGCTCTTTGGAATCAAAGGCCGACACTGCCAAGGCCAGTGCAGTTGTTTTCAAACCATGCCATGATGTGGAACAGTCAAGTGTTGTTGATCTGGCCAGAAACAAGAGCGTAAGCGTTTGAAGGACTGAACACATTATTTGATTTATATAATCGAATCGACTGATCTGTTCGAAGGACACGGACATCAAGGACAACTCCAAGAAGCCAAAGATGGATGTGCCCAACACAGAGGCAATCCGACATCAATTTTGGGCCCTCTTGTGTTCCCTAAATTAACGTTCTCTCTTGCTAGTTCTGTCCGATCCAGGCAAAGGGAGGGAAGAAAAAGAAGCTGGATCAGGAGCCTGTGTAAGAGTTCTTTGTCAACTATGTACCCCTCGTACCATTCAGTGTTGCAGGAGAAACCAAATGAAGCAAATGACGGTGATGATGAACCCAAACGGAAGGCAACTATATAATATAATATTTATCGCCAAAACAAGCATGTCATGTTCCTTTTGGATTTCTGGATCGTTCAGGCCAGCCGATTGTCAGAGGCCTGGCCCATTTCGGTTGGGGTTACGCACCGTTGCCATTTCTCAAAATATGCACTAGTGCCACTTCTCAAAATCAACCGCAGGATCTGCGCGCAGAGCGACTCCTACTTGTTCAGGCAGTTTCCAACAAGGACCCTCATTTGGTGGTTCCAAAAGAT